AGTTTTATATTTGGAGATTTTCAATTTTATTTTCAGGTCTGAGGCTAGCGCCTCTGCTATAATCTATTACTATACTGAAGTCCAATAGAAAGTATACACTGTTCATTTCGTCCTGTTTCAAACAAAGTCGTTTTTCCATTGTATGCGGTATTTGGGTACAATGTTCATTTGTTTTGCCTTTTATTTGCTTAGAAATATTGAGTTTGGAAGCACCAGACATGTTCAGTGTAGTTTTATCACATTTTTTTGATTTAAACAAAACTTAGTCATATTTTTAGTGTGTTTACTTTCTTTTGGACTTCAGTATATATAAAATAACCCTTGACAGTTGGAATTTGAAATAAGAGTAGGCTGCAGATAAGTAGGACATTAAACCCCATTTCTTTCAACAGCTGCCATGTTAGCAAGATTTATGACAAAGGCGGAATAACTCTAAAAGGTAAGGTCGGACAATGCTGAATATGGATAGGTTTCGTTCTCTGATGACCCCTGGATGGTTGGATGGTCAAACGCGGAAAGAGGCAGGGTTTCGATTCCCCACCTGTTCAATGTCGTGGGTTTTCTCCGGGTCTCCCACTTCCTCCCACTGATAAAGATCTATTATCAGCACAAATGAGTTATTGATATAAATTGAACCACATGTTAGTCCCGAAATGGTTTGTGTCGAGTGGATGTTAAACCCACACCGAATTTCAAAAAGATCTATTAAAAGCTATAGTCTATGTTGTTTTCACAAGGTTGTCGGAAAAGGAGCATAACTTTTGAAGGAAAATCCTATTGAACTTTCTTGGCCAACGCAGGGATTGAACACGGGACGTCCAGATTAATGAGCCAATGTCTTACTCACTGAGTCACCGTCGTTACCAAAAGATGGCGGCAAGCAATGACGGACTCATTTGTATTCTGAAATTGGGTTTTATAAACATTGTTGATGAAAATAACCCATGTGTTATATGTCGTTGTTGGTCAATGGACTCATTGTGATCAAACGGATGATCCAATATGGCAGTCAAAATCCAAAATGGCGGCTGGTTTGGGTAATTTTTGATGCAGCGTGGGCGTACCCTGTGTTTATTGAACCCATGAACCTCGCCTCGAATCCGAGTGAAATTTGCAACATGTTTTAAATCGATAATCAACATAGTAGTTAATGAAATTTGACATTTTCATAACTTTTGCTTCTGTGGATTTAGTGAAATAAAGATCTTCGAGTCATTAAAGCTAGCTAGCTTAGAAGTTTTTGTGTGCGCATTGAGCCTACCCTAACTCGATTTTGAAAATGCAACATAGGAGGCTTCTGAAATTTAGCAGTCTAGTAGTTTATTCATCCCTTGATTTCTCGGTGAGGCCGGCCTTGGCCCGTGGACTAAACATTTAGCTGTTAGGAATTCAGGTCAGCCACCTAAGTTAGGCTATATTGGACCACATTGAAGTTGCTGTATTCACGTGCTGGAGTAGCAGGAAAACGAAAAACGCGTTTTGGGCAGTCCAATTTTCCAATCTTTCTTAGGGGCTGGGGGGGGGGGGCTACACGGAAAGATCCAAGATCCAAGATCCGCCACTGTAAACTGGAAAAAATACAATAGAAAAAATACAATAAAAACATATTTATATAACCATTGCTTTAATATGGTATTTTTCATTGATTCACCAATCAACACAAATGTCAAATTATAGACATTTTAAAATTGATGGAAATGAAATGAAATAGGATTTTTAAACTCCCGTTCTGCTCAAAATGGACTAATGAAGACGGGTATACGCCATACAATGTGATATCTCCTCATAATTCAGTGCAAACCTCGCATCAAGTTTCCTAAACAATACGAGTATTTTAAAAATAATGTGGTTTATTTAAAATGTCTCGGAGACTAATAAAAGAAATTTGAACTATAAATAGAAATAGGATCTGTGTTCTACAGGGCCGGCGGAAGCAATTTTTATATTGGGGTGGCTACCATTCTAGGACTTGAGGCGAGGGCCCAGGGACCGCCCAGGCGTATATAGTCGTCACCCTGTCTGTCGGTCAGCGTTGCGTGACTTTCCTCGTCCCCTTTTCCGACAACGTTGTGAATAGAAGCTATAGTTTTAACCCTTTCTTGCATAGAGCAATTTGTTCTTTTACCAGAAATGTCAAATTCCAACCAGACATGTATTTTCACATTATTAGACATATCCAATACCCGTTTTTCAATTATGGTTCCTAAATTGGGAGTTTAGGTGGGGGGGGGGGTCACCATGCAGCTCTGGGTGGTGATAGGGACACACATCTGATGCCACTATGCAGCCCTGGGTGGCGGTAGGGACACACATCTGATGCAACTATGCACAAAATGGAAGGAATTGAAGACAAACGTGGAAAATACTTGTCGTGCTCAGATGTAACATTGACATGCTGTGAATTTTATCAACAATTTTATCAACTTTTAGCAGTGTGCGGATGTTTGGCCAATCCAAACAGAAGACATATTGCACTAACATTACTAATGTCTGATTGTCTGAACTTGAGGAGAAACTACAACAAAGGGATTTTCTCTGTCCCACAAGCAAGGCATATACCAGGCCAGCAGTAGCCTCCACCTATCTTATCTCTATGCTTATGACAGTCATAGTAGAGCAGCTGGATGTCCCATCGCAACAGAGGAAGACATGAAATGAAATGGGGTTTAACGTCCTACTGCTCTGCTCCTAACTGGGCTAATGAAGACGCGCATACGCCATACAGTGTGCTATGAGGGAAATTTTGCCCGAACGGCAGCACTACGGCCTACACTTATATCGAATTCCAACTGCCAACTGATCTTTTACGTGCACGCCAATATGTACACGAGACCTCGGTTATTCGTCCCATCCGAACGACTAGACAGCTTTCCTTGTCAGGCCCTCCATCCTGCATCACTGACAAGAGGGAACCAGGCCGGAAAATCTGGATGAACTTTCTATGCCAATGCAGGGATTGAACACACGGCCTCCAGGCTAGCGAGTCAGCGTCTTGCCAACCAAGCCACCGTGACCCCCAGGGGAAGACCTTGCTTTTCACACACGTTGTTCTACTACACCTGGAAGAATATGTTTCGAGCTTGCATCTTGGTGCATACCGGCAACAAATATATGGCATGTATAGGGTCACTACTGTATGCATTGTGGCCACGTTTATTTCTTATTCTTTGAAAAATACTGACTACTATTTCTACATGTTCTGGAACAAACATTTTACTAAACTGATATAGCACTTTGCCAGTCGGAAAGTCGAACTCGCCTACTTCCACTGGGGGGCTGACATGTTGATTCTGTACCAGGCTATCCCAGGGCCATCTATCAGCGATAAAATAAACTAAAGATGGCACCGTTTGTGGCCAGCATGCAGTTAGAGGTGTAATTATTTGGTGTCAAATTAGTGTGTTATTAGAGTTCGGGCACTTTTGTTTGCCACCTAATAATAATTTCTGTGTTTACTTTACTTGTCTGCCCGAAAAGTCATTTTGCCCCACCCACCCCCTGGCCGTACCCCTATGCACGAGGAAGAAAGATAAACAGGGTTTAAACCATGACATTTCGGGACTAACATGTGGTCCAATTTCATATCAATAATTTGTTTGCCAGTATGGGTCTTTATCAGTGAGAGGTAACCTTACTTACGTGCATGTGGGGTATCGAAACCATGCAACTGGAAGTGTTTGACCATCCAACCGCCCTGGGGTCATCAGAGGACGAATCCTATCCATATTCAGCGTTGCATGACCTTACCGTTTAGAGTTACCCCCCCCCCCCATTTGTCATAAATCTTGTGACTCGATTGCTGCTTAAAGAAATGGGGTTTAATATCTGGAATAATGAAGACCAGTTTACACCTTACAGTGTGGTATAAGAGGCTACAGTCTACTCTTATTTCGAATTTCAACTGTCAAGGGTTCTTTTACGTGTCTGCCTATTTGTACACGGGATCTCGATTTTTTGTCCCATCCAAACAGCTAGATAACCAGGCCCTGCGTCCTACACCACTAGACCCTGTCCTTGCCAGGTCCTGCGGCCTACACCACTAGACACTGTCCTTGCCAGGCCCTGCGTCCTACAACACTAGACCCTGTCCTTGCCAGGCCCTGCGTCCTACAACACTAGGCCCTGCCCTTGCCAGGCCCTGCGTCCTACACCGATGTTCTAACAGATTCTCTTTCGAATTTACTATGAAGTATTGAAGTCATTGGAGGACAAAATCGATACTCGGCATTCCATAACCTTCCGTCCCACAGTTAGAGGCTGTGGTTTTGAATGATTTTGTTCCACATCTGGTATAAAAGGATGACGAATCCTATCAATATTCAGTTTTGGGACATTCTGTTCCCGAGTCACCCTTCTTTTCCGAACAGGATAGAGGTTGAAGGCAACCATGTCAAATTTGTTTAACATTATTAATGTTTTGCTTTCGGATCAGAAGCTGTCAAGACATGGCTGTTATGTGGACGTATTTCCTATAATAATCCAGATAATTAAAATAAAATCCAAGCCCTGGCCCAATACAAGTGAAATCAGGTTTACCGGTTCACTGTTCTGTCCGGACAGCAGCGTTTTTTGTCCAACCCGAATGACTAGACACTGTTCCCTTCCATAAAAATCAAACCCGTGGCCTACTGATAAGTAAACCAAGGCAAAATATTTCGTACCAGCGTTATCTAAACTAGAAAACCAGTTATATAATGAAAATACCAAGCCTGATCTTCACCTTTTTGGCTGACAAGTAGATTGGATTGTATGAAAAACCCACGTCTAGTCGCGAACACAGTGGCAAGCGTGTAAAAAGACTGCTGACAGTTAGCAAAAAAACATATTGTAATGTTTATTTCTATGGTTTTATGGACAATGTGAGGTAGGAGAATTTTACCCAGACAGTGGCCTTTCCATGAACCTCTTTCTCGATTTCCAACTGTCAATGGGTTTTCTACGTGCACACCAATATGTATACATATGGATGTTGATTTTTCATTATATATAAATGATTTAAAAACAATATTACATTGTTTATTTACTAATATAAAATATTTATAATTTATGAGATGAGTATAAGAATTATAAAAAATATTTTTAAAACAGACAGGAGCTTGAATCACGCCTCCTATAGGCCCACCATAAGCAACAAGAACTATTATAGCAAGAACTGTCAGCTCTTTATCTAAATCTTATATTGTAAGGTTATCGACACCCTGTCCGTATCGATGTCTACTATAAAATAAATGTGGGGATGGGAGAGTGGGATAGCCAAATAGCTGGACTTATATTCTGTTGTTTTCCTCCTTCAATGTCTAACGACTAAGACTAATAATACGTTCAATATGCCCGTTCCTTTATTTCAAGGTTATGTCATGACATGAATAACAATAAAATACAGTTAGTAAATCATTCTATAATATATTAAATATGGGAGATAACGTTCACAAACCCTTAACGTCCTTGACGTCGCACATTGGTTAACCCGGTGATAATGGCGGCATATTCTGCCGATTAATGATGACATTTGTAACATTAACATGTATGACCAAGTTCCATCACGGCCACGATTCTCACCTTTCTAATTAGTTAAAAGGTTGTGAATATACCTTAGTTGTTAAAAAGTTTCGGTTTTATCTCTTGGTTACATATTAATACAACGAACAGTTATCTGCCCTTAGGACATTGTTGTTTATTGCACGATATTATGGACAGGTTGATTTAATTAAGTTATTTACATGTGAATGAGTAATATATAGAAAATAGGTAAAAACACTAAATAATAAAAAGTTCTTGTATATCTAAAAGTCACTTTAAAACACAGTTTTAACATCGCTGTCGTGAGAAGAGAAGAGAGGGCTGGTCATCTTCTCACTTTGTCATAATTAAAACAAGTTAAAATAGGAGATCCAGCTGTTTGATGCCATCGCAGCGGATTGAAAAAAAACCCTGTGGGAAAAAGCATCCACTGTTTAATGTGGAAAAGCGAAGTTCTCGCAGTAAAAACCACATAGCTGGACTCTGGTTATAAAACATAATTATTATAACAACCAAGATGAAATACTAGTGTTAACAATGATCAAATAGAAATATATGTAACAATCTGAGAAGTCGGTGCTAAGATGGACGTGACACAAGATGGAGGCTAACAAGTAAGTAGAACTTGTAAGTTTTATATCAAATATTACAATAGGCCTATATAAAAGACCGGATTCTATATATTACAATATATTGCATATTTAAGAAAGAAAAATTAACGTTAGAAAATCTCCCAAGTCGGATAAAACAGAAGATTACAGGTGGCCTTGACTTTTGATCATACCCCATTTATATCATCTGTAGAAGATTCCGAATATTGACACGTTTTTAATTTATCATATCTTTGTAAAATACTCAACAGAATATTTTTATACTGACACGCCTTCCAGAGATTCAATTTTTACAATATTGTAGTTTGTAAAGGATTCCTCAATATCTCAAATGTCAGACATTGAATACAATGTAAATAAATATTTTTGTAAATTTGAAGCCAAGATTGTGGAATATACATATTTGGTATGTTTATCTACAAAAGTAGAGGTATATTTTAAATTATTTCAATTTTTTAAAGAAATCTACAACTTCTTCTAGTTCTCTTTGTTTAGCTTGTTTATGTGCACATCTATTCTCTATTACTTCAGCTGACACTTTCCATTTTTCATTCGTTTATCACAGGAAGGACATTTTTTACCTCCTGAAAAAAAACCCAAACATAATCTTATATTATGTGTTACTATTTATTTTAAATGTAGATTAAGTGATATAACATGAAATGGGGTTTAACGTCCTACTTTTCTGCTTCTACAGGACTAATGAAGATCGACATACGTCATACAGTGTACTATGAGGGAAAGTTTACTCAGACAGCGACATTCCCATCTAGTCTTCCACGACATTCCAACTGTCTGTCAAGGGTTCTATTACGTGCACGACAATGTGTACAATATGGAGCCTTGCGTTTCTGACTCAGTCAAATAACAGAATACACTTTTAATTTTCAGTCAACTATCTAAAGTGAGATCCGTGGTTTGAATATCGAGCAAATTTAAAAATTAAACAAAACGAATAGAAGACACAAGTAACACTAAATAAACATATCATTTAAGCAGGTGTAAAGTTTTAGTTTTCTTCACCAACTGAGGTAATGAAGACGGTCGCCATGACTTCCAGCAGTATTATAAATATTTACCTATAAATGAAGGTGTTTTCATGTACGTATCTAAACAACCATTATGAAACAGATGACCACAATAAACTCTCTCTATCTGATTTTTACGACCTTTCAATTGATTCTGAAATAAAATATTTTTCACACATTATCTAATTGTTCTGACTTGAAGTTTCGGATTTAATAGTTTTTGTGTTTTCAACTAGTTTATAATAAACGGCTGTATCCTAGATTAAACCATTATTAATATTATACAGTCTTTGTCAAGTTTGTTGTTAGGGAATTAATATTCTTTGGTTATTAGACAAAATATAAAAACCATTACCTCAGGATCTTCAGCTAAAACGGTGGACAGTTTTCTAGTGGATATCTCTTGACACAATCACGTATCAAATTATCACAAACAACTTTTAATGACGGTGTATGTTCGAATACAGCAGCTCTGAAAAACATAAACAAAACATACGTTTTCTTTTATAGATAATGGAGACAATATTTACAAGACGCTAAAAACATATCAAGGTATTGTTTATACAATTTATAACATTATTCCAATTTTTTAGATACATTTTGTAGTGTTTTTACACATAACAACTATCAATGTAACTGTATTTATTGTATTTTAAGGTTAAATTATTAGAAATTCTAATTGTTTAATAGTACCAGTTGGTCAAATGGGTTAAATCCTATTTCTATATCATCCACAAAGGATAACTCTATTTTGATTTATCTCCCCTTAAATTAGTCTGCCTTATCCATCACTCAATAAAAACAATTTACAAATATTTCTAAGTAATATAGTAAATCTCCCCATAAACCAGAATTTAAAACTTGTCTGCCGTATCACTTCATTCAAAAAAAAATATTTCTAAATAAAATCGTAAATAACGAGTCTATGTCAAGATAGACAGAATCAAGTTCCATGTGATTACTGGTAAACAACAACAAATATAAACAAAGAAATCTGGAGAGATATATTCTAGAAATCAAATAGGCTTTAATCATTTAACTCGGAGTCTGACATGAGAAAAGTGGATGTCAATTTATAAAATGAAAAATAAATCAATTTTTCTTACCTTCTATAGTAAATATATTCTTTCAACATCATTTCAAATATTATTCTATTCCTCTCCAATCATATCTCTTGGTTAATATAATTCATTGTGTTGTTATTTAAAACAATATTGGGTTAAAGTTGACTTTGATGACCACCAAAACATCACATCAGTTGATTTTCTATTCCTGTTATTCAACCTGGTAATACTACTTTCAATTTGTTTATAAATAGATTTAACGTGACCTATTGACTTGTGACGTAATAACCAATGACGTTGTAAAAACTTGTAATGACGTGTTACTAGTTTTAATGGCTGACAGGTAGCCAGTCTGTGTACAGAATGTTGTTGATTGACAGAAAATGGTTTATAACAAAATTTAAAAATTTACATCAAAATAAAACATCTTCATCATTTAGTTCTAACAGAATTATTAACAAGTAAAATAAAGATGTTGTATGATTATTTATATTCTATTTATCAAGGCCTATTTAAAATAAATATGATACACATTTTGATTTACGCCACCGACGAGTCCAGTCTAATAAACTACCATAATCACGACACTTGACATTTATATTCTATTCATCAAGGCCTAATTCACGTAAATATGATACACATTCTGTTTTACCTAACCGACGAGCCAAGTCTAATAAACTACCACGATCACCCTTAACATCTAACATGGCACCAGCAGAGAAGAGTAACTGTATCTTATCTAACGGCTGTTTGTTAGACAACACACAATAAAATACTGGTGTCCTATTAGAATCATTCCTATCATTTGTATCAAGTCCTTGTTCCAATAAATATTTTACACAGTCTATTGTACCCCAACAACACGCCCAGTGTAATAAACTATTACCATTATAACCCTTAACATGTAACATGGCACCAGCAGAGAAGAGTAATTGTATCTTATCTAACGGCTGTATGTCAGACATCACACAATAAAATACTGGTGTCATATTACTACCACCGACAGGAATATTTAAATCGATATTTTGATGTATTAAAGTTTTGACATCATCAAGTGTACCATGTAGACAAGTTTGACGTATTGATTCCCAGTCCATTTTATTGTTGTCGGTTGTTTTATTATAGTTAGTTGTTTTTACATCTTGTGTAACAAATGGTTGGTTTAATAATGGAGTTGTTGATGTGATGGTGGTGGCCATATTGTTTTGTATAGATGTCTGACTATATTTAACATCATCTGAAATTATATAATATTCATACTAGTTGATTACCTGTTCATATATATCGTTCTGATGGTGGTTAAAAACCCTGGCCATCTTTAAACTAGGTTATCTTTGTTGTCTGAACGTACAGGTGGGGTAATTTCGAGTAGGATATACACCTGAGTTATTTTAATTATATTTATAACCCTTGACCATGGTTTGTCACAACATGTGAAAGATATACAACCCCTGGCTTAAAAACACTTCAACTAGAAAATTACTTGCCATTTCTTTAATTATTAATTAAAATGGCTAAAACGTAATGACATACCTGGAATTGTCATCCCTTTGCTTTCTTCATCTATTAGTAAGTGATCATATGTATCATCCGTATCTGTAATAGAAACATATATATTAGTAAGTACAGAACAAAGATAGGTTGCCAGACAAGGAAACATACATACACACCAGCACAGTCGTCGGAGCCGTCAACACGGGTTGTCGCATATTTTCTTTTGCGTCTGTAATACTCTGTAATTAAAACATACTCTAAAATCGGATTAAGAGCAACATCAGAAACCATTAGAATTTGTTTGGCTTCTAGTTCTGCCCCATGTTAACGTTTAGAATCAAAAACCCAGATGGTAACCGCACTGACAAGACACTATCAACTCAAGTGATATAGATATACCTATGTATGTACTGAATACAAAGTTCGTGCGTGTGCAAGTCCTTTTCAGTTTTCAAAAGACAAAGATACTTAGATAGTTTGCTACGCAACGAAACATACACCCTCTGCAGCTAAATCGTCCGGGCAGTCGATGAACAAGGGCTGTCACATATTTATTCTTTTGTAGGTAATGGGAGAATTTAAAAGATACTGATATTAATTTCCTACACAGATCAAACGAAAATCTCTGTCGTTAGAGCGTTCACAAGGTTCAACAAAGTGAAAGGGCCAGAACTTTTGAAATTCAATAGGATTCTTCGTTTTACTAATTTAAAAAATATTAATATAAATTTAATACAGATCGGATGATAACTTTAATCTTTATTCCTTCACGAAGTTCAACAAAGTGAAACACGGACCATAAATAACTGTAGAGTAGACGTAAATAAATAGGCTTCTTCGTCCCGTTAATGTAAACAAGATTAATATAAATTCAAACTGATCAGACAATAAATGGTGTTCACAAGAAATTGTGGACGACGGACAGCAATACATTACCGTGTGGACGTATATAAAATCATATAAAATGCAACTGAAAGACGACTTGTCTTGACCACATGCTTCTGCTAAATGACGTCTCTTGTTGGCTGTCGTCTGCTGAATTAAGTCACCTGACGACGGTCGTCTGCTAAATGACGTCATTTAATTAGAGCGTTAAAAACAATGACGTCATGTGCTATTTTTTGTTGTACGAAATGTTACTGCTGAACAGTCAGCCATTTCTTAAAATGTAGCCCACTTCCAATCTAGAAAATCACTGATTTTTTTATTTGTTATCATGTTGGTGTTATTCTCGAATTGTGCTAAAATAAAGTAGAGTCACGGTGTTAGTGGGTGGGGTGGGGGGGGGGTAGGCCTACTGACGGATTCCTTCGAAAATAAACTAAAATCTCTACTGCACAGCACATAATTTCTTTACGGCTATGTTTAAATATAGACCTATACCCAACATATATTAAAATAGTAATTATTTTATACATATACACACCATACATAGGCCTATGTTTGTTAAGACTATTTAAAGGCAAGGGACCGGTTAACTCTCCGTTAGATTTCTGTTGCTGAAATGTCAATTTCATTAGGCTATCCGTTAGCTACAGATTAAAGTTAATTCAAGAGAAGACTGTCTGATCACTGGCTGAATATTAGGCCTAAATTTTTAAATTCAATGTAGCCTATTATTAATATCATTGCTCAACTTTCACATAATAATGTATCCAGGTTATCTAAACGAAAATATACTACCACAAAATATTACAAATTACATAACGACAGTCGGTGAATAATCACCGGATTGGATTAATTATACAAACAGCGACAAACAATACAAGACTATTTAATGGCGGTAATAATACAGAGAGAACCGGAAAAACACAACATCACGTGGTTAACTGACCACAGGGACTTGTAAGATAAATAACATAGGAGTTCGTACTAAGCCTAGTACTAATGACTATGGCGCGACCACTTTTTTACTTGTGAAAGTTTAATATAAACTAAAACAATATCAATATAAAATATAGTCATGATATCGCGATGGTTTTGTCCTTGGTCGTTGGGGTCGCCGAGGATAGTTGATATCAAGCTGAGGCTCTTCAGAATCTGAGTCGGTGATATCTGGATCCTGCGATTCATTGTGGAGTTGCAGAGTTGTGTCTTTTAACTCACGAGGAACAATGACACTATCATCATCACTATCAGAATCAGAGAGAGAGGCGTTCGGCATTGAGCTGGTGTGGCTTGGGATCAGATACACATCCGATGGTTTGACGACATAAGTTCGGGATTGAATATTAGAGTTAGTAAACTTCTTAACATGGAGTAAACTATCATGAACACTAACCACAATATATTTATCACGTGCTTTGAGTTTGTTACCATCACTATATAAGTAGACTAAATCACCGACATCAGCAGTAGAATCTGGGAGGGTTGTACCTTTGGGATGTTTTGATTTTTCACTGTGTGGATGGTTAGCTTTGCGACGGCATTGTTGCTTATCGATTAATAGTTGATCGTCTAGAGGAAGCTGTATATTAGTCATTTGATCTCTCTGACACCACATTTCGCGAGCAGATAATCCACCATTACGGACCCTCGAATTTAAACGAGCAATTACAAGGCTAAGTTGGAGGGGTGTGATTTCGCCTCCTCCTGGAAACTGTCTGAGAATTTCCTGTTCGACTTCCTGAACTGCACGTTCGGCGACTGGGTTCTTGTTAATGTTTTTGATACGTCCTATTTCTAAGCGAATTCCATATTGTACCAATAATTTATCATCCGACATAGCCTTAAAACACGGTCCGGGGTCACATCGAATTACACAGTTACCTTCAACAGGTAACATATCAATAGCCAACTGTAATAGAGCATCACGGACAGTTTTTGTTTGTTCGTTGTGGATAATACTAGCAGCAGTACGGGATGTTACACACTCACGAAGAACTAATATACGTTGTTTATAACGACATATTACATCACAAGCGAAATACGAACCAACAGTAGTTGGAGGAGGTTCTGTAGACTGTTTAACTAAAGATGATGGAACCTTTTTCAAGGCTGAACACTGAGAACAATGTTTTGTTACGGAATCGACAACACTGTCCATATCTAACCCGTAAAAGTATCTGTGAACTATTTTACGAAGCTGGTACGCCGTGGGATGGTCTAAACGGATGTGAAGGGCTGTCAAAATTCCCGGGAGTAAAGATCGGGGAACAACAATTAATTCGCGGTTAGTCATAAGAGGATCTGTTTTTTTAACCACAAGAGTTCCATCAGCCGAAATAGATATATTGTTGAGGTAACGTTTGACATCGTGTGCATTCGTAACCTTCTTGGAGGGTCTTGTACCCTGTGATAAATGAGCATGCACACGACGTAAGTCCTTACAATCCAATTGAGCGGATCGCCACATCGTTCTATTTAAAAATGGTAACTTGACAGTTCCGTCCATGATATCTTTGACAGAGACAGCACGGACGACAGATTCAGCAGTTTCGGAAACAAAAGTACAAATCTGACATGAAACCAATTCGCATTCTGGAGCATTGCGGCTACCGAAGTCAGTTGGTACATTCGCTGATCCGGCCAGATGGCGAACGTGGATGTGAAATCGACTTGCAGTGGACAAAAAGGTTGCTACACGAGGGCTAGCTGAATACTCTCCCCTACACAGTTTAGCGAAGGCTTCGACACAAGGTTTACTATCTGTGAGAAGCTGAGTAACTTTATCCGACTGGACGATATAGGGAGAAAAGTGTTTCACGGCGGCAGCTATTGATAAAGCCTCGACCTCACAGGGGCTCCATCCAAACTTGCGATGAGGAAGTTTTGCACTGTAAAATCCTGCGAGTTTAAGTCTACTGTCACGAACGAGATAAAGCGTGGACGCTAAACCATGATCTTTAACCGCACCATCAGTGACAATCCATAGCTGATCAGATGGTATGGGTAAGTCGATGACTTTAGCACTGCGCAAATAGTCCTGAGCTACCTGAAACGCGCGAATAGTATCATCAGTCCATGCCAATTTATCTTTTGATGTGGCACCTCCTACCATAGAGTCAAACGGGGTAAGGTATTTAGAACATTGAGGTAGTACTCTGGCCAGGAACTTGTAAGCACCAATAAAGGCTCGTAGGTCGCGGACAGTTTCAGGGCGTTGACATGTCGATAAAGTAGCAAGTTTGTGAGGACTAGCACTTAACGTACCTTGGCACCAAATCCAGCCAAGTATTACAGTTTTATGAGGAGCAATTACAGTTTTCGAAGCTTTCAAACTAAGTTGGGCTTTTTGTAAGGCTGTGAGAACTTTTTGCCAATTTGAGATGAGTTCCTCGTGAGAGTTTCCACCACAGTAAAGGTCGTCAGCAATTTTAGCGACAAACCCATCTTGAATCAGGTCACCGAGCACACGGCACATGAGCTCTTCGAGAGCAGTCTCCGACCCTGGCATACCCATGGCACAACGAGTATACACACGAACTCCCTTAAAGGGGGTAACAACCCCACAATACTTCATGGACTCTGAGGATAGCGGAATCTGGTAAAAGGCGTTCGACAAGTCGGTAACGATGATGTATTTCCATCTAGCAATAGATCGCAGTGTCGAGTCTATATCTGGCATTAGTGAAGGCTGTGGCTTAGCATACTGGCCCACTTCAGCAAAAGCTGTGACGAGTCTATAAGAGCCGTTCGGTTTTTTGACGAGGAAAGAGGGATTTAAATATTCTGCTACAACATTAACATCCTCGGGGCGCTTGAATACACCACATAGCTCCAACTCGTCGAATTTGTGTTGCAACTCGTCAAGTTTGTCTTTGGAATACTGGGGAATGCGACCCTTTCGTTGTGGAGGTAAAACCGGTCCCATATTAACAGTAGCGGAAAAAGGTCCAAATGCGCCATTGTATCCTCTTGGTTCAGGGTGAAAAACGTCATCGTAAGTATGTAGTAATTCCTGAAATCGATGCCGTGTGGATTCGGGAAGTAGATTATCGGGATCTAGCTGAACAGCTTGGGAGTATGTACGAGGTCCATTGTTGGAGGGCAGCTTTCCAGCTGATGATCCGCCGGTGTCGTTTTTAGCAGGAGTATAGGTAGGCAAAATGTGGGAAAAGTGGCTATTGCGGCGTACGGTAATAGGGAAATTAGTATTATTA